TTTATTCAAAAGGAATAAATGAAAATTATTTTATTATTATTATATTTATTAATTACTATTATTGGGGGTTTATTTTCTTTATAAATAATTTTATCTAAAAATAATAAATAAAAATTATTATTATTATTATTATATTTGCTTATAACTATTAAGATTTTAATTATTTATAAATTTATTTACAAATATATAATTATTTTCGTTATCATATATATATATTATACAATACCTCCCCCTTCTTATTTTTATAGAAAGTAAATTTTTTCACAAATCTTTTCATTTTAGAGGGGAATTTTTTTTTGTGGATCCCACCTCATTTTTTTCACAATTTCCCACAATTCTTCTTTACCAAACAACATCAAATTTTTAATTTTTCTACACTTACCTTCTTTTTCGTCCTCTTCTTTTCTATTTACCCTTTACCAAACAAGGGCTGAGGGTAAAATTGACCCTAATTTTTTGGTATTGTACAGTGAACTTGGAGTTTAGATGATGAAATTTATGTATAACTTTTATTATACTATTTTTTACATCATTAATAAAATTTTGTAATATTTTCTAAATAATAACACAGTAAAAAAAAATGTTTAATATGCTATCAATTCGTGTATACTAAACAAAAATATCTAGTGCAACAATAATTTTTAGAAGTTTTTTTTTATGAGAAGATTTTTAAAAAATTAACTTCTTATCTAATTTAATTTTTATTTATCATAATTATATATAAATTAAAATTTAATATATCAACTTTACAAATTTATATAAATTAAGTCTATAATTTTTTTAAAAGTTTGAAAATCATGATACTTTGTTATTAAGTAGAATAAATCTAAGCTAAATTTATACTTTTGGACTCCTTATATATATAAACACACCATATTTGACGTCTCCTTTAATGATCGACAAATTTTTGTATAATGAAAAGTGTAGAAGCATGGCTTGAAGACTAGAAAGAGGAAGAAAAATGTGAATTTGAATGAGTCCATATGAGGGGAAAATGGATTGGTCTTCGATTTTGTATTGTGCTTCAAAATATTCGTTTTGGAATTTTGGATGAGTCTAGTATATTCGTTTAAGACGACCTTCGAAAATGATGGCAACTTATCGTTGGACGGTCACTAAGGAGACATCACGTTAGTTGTTGTTACATTAATCAATACTAATTCAATGCACTTTTTTCATTTATATTGTTTTGATCAAGAGTCTATTGCTATTGTTAGGATCAATGTGTTTGAGATATTGTTTATTTTAATACTCGTTAAACTATTATAATTTTTTTCAAAGGTGTCTTGATAAGTCAATGAGAAAGTGTTTATAAATTACCTTAGTCTTAATTCTTGAGTGATGAGAGACTTTTAGGCATATCAGAATAACACTCGTTGAACCATCACGACTTTGTTCTTGAAAAGTTGTTTCAGTGGGTTAAGGAGGGAGAATGTTTATAAATTACCCAGTCTCAATTCTTAAGCGATGTGAAACTTTTAAACATACTAGAACAAGTCCTTTAATTAAGGCTAAGGGTCACTGGCTTGGACCCTCCTTCTAGCACCAATGTTTTGACTGTAAGTTTATTGGCATTGTTAGAATCACCGCGTTCAAAGTATTGTCTGCTTTGACATTTGTTGAGCCGTCACAGTTTTGTTCTTAAAAAGACATCCTGGTGGGTTAAGGAGAGAGAGTATTTATAAATTACATTTAGTCTCAATTTCTAAGCGATGTGGAACTTCAAGGCTATGGGTAGTTTATAAACATTCTCCTCCCTTAACCCATTGAGATGTCTTTTCAATGATAAAATTGTGACGGCCTAACAAGTATCAGAACGGATAATATTTGAGACGCGATGACCCTAATGATACCACCAGACATATGGTCAAAACACATAAAAGGTATCTTGGATTAATTTTATCATTAATTTAAATAATTTTTCCTTCAATCTCTAAAGCAAACTTTATACAATATGCCCATCTAAAATAAATGATCCCTCTGTGCTGAATTGACTATTCTACACATTAATTTCGGATGAATTAACTCACTTTTTTGGGTGCAGGGGTAAGAAATATGAATAAACCAACTTCAAAGCAACCAAAACATTCTTGTAAAACATGTTCAACACAAAATTAGAAGACTTTCAACTGAATAATGTGTTCGTGCATGATGCACCCCCAAGCAGCCAATTTGTCCGCCACACTATTGGCATCATGAGGGACCATTGCAAACTCTAGTTGCCAGTCTCAGGATTTAAGATCACAAATCAAGTACATGTGAGTACATTCTAACATCCGCAATCCGCAGTCTCACATGAACTCCAGCCTCCCAACAAGTCTTCAAACCAAGCTTTATAGCTAACAGTTCAGCCTTGAGAGGGTCACCTTCATTCGCATGACTAACAAACCACATAATCCATCTTCCTGACGTAACTCTAAGAACACCCCCAAGACCCACAATGTGTTTACCCAAATCCAGCTGCCAACAACATTAAGCTTCTTGACAGCATCTTCTGGTGTGCACCAAACAGTGTTATCCAGAACTAGTTTCAAGTGTGTAAAAAATGCAGAATCCTCAGCTAGATAAACACTGATATTATAGCAAATCTTTGTCAGCTTCCACTTTATCCCATCAAAGGTCTGGCTATTTTGAAACCTCCAAAGTCAAAATCTACCGCAATGAACTTCACTGCATCCCTTTGAGACATGCTGAAACCCAGCCAAGTCTGAACATGTATCCTGAAAAATCTAAGGAGGAATATCATGCATGAGAGACCAAACTTCCTTCAAAAGACTAATTTTTCAATATACATTGTTGGAAATGATCAACAAATATATGTTGTTTTACTTAAAAGAAAATTAAGGAAAATCAATAAAATCAAAAGTAATGCATGAAAATAGGAAAGAAAAAGAAATAGAAAAAGAGAGAGAAAAAATAAAAAGTTTAAAAATAATATTTTATTTTTTGGGTGTTTTGGGTTATGAGCTGAGTGTTTGTAAACACTATTTATATTTTCTTCTTTTTTAATAATATATTTATGGAAGTCCGAAGATGTAGGCACAATTAGTCAAACTCCATTATCAATTTGGTGTTATTATTCCACATTTATTTTATTTTTTTGCAAATATGATTATAAGAATTTTTGTGTATTTTCTCAACAATTGGTATTAAGAGCTTTGGTGGTGATTTTTATCAATTCTTAAAAAAATTATAAAAGATCTAGAAGGAATCAGATTTGAGTGGGAGAAATGACTACAGATGAAGAAAAGGTGAAAATTGAGAAGTTCGATAGTTCAAACTTTAGCTTTTGAAAGATGCAAGTCAAAGATTATTTGTATCATAAAAAGTTGCACCAACCTCTCTTAGGAAACAAACCAAAGGGCATGAAGGATGAAGGCAAAGGCAAATGTTGCTTCTACCTTAGGAGGAGATGATGCATTGATATGTTCTTTAAAGAACAAGGAAAAGTCTTGGGCGTTAGACTCTAGAGCATCCTTTCATGACACTTCACAAAAAGAATTATTCGAGAATTAGGTCCCCAAAAACCTTAGTAAAATTTACCTAGATAATGAGTAATCTTGTGAAATTGTGGGTAAAGGTGTAGTGAAGATTAAGTTAAATGAGTCTATATGGGAATTGAAAAATGTTAAACATATTCTCAACATGACAAAGAACTTAATCTTAGTAGATCAGTTGACTGGTAATCCTACACAAAAATCTTCCATGGCAATCATTAGAAGATTTCAAAGGATGTAACGACAATTGTTGGTGGTAAAAAGAGTGGTACTCTTTACAAGATAGCGGGAGCATGTCATTTGATTGCAATTGTAACAAATGAAAATTCCAATATGTGGCACCAACGGTTAGGCCATATAAGTGAAAAAGGGATGAAGATTATGCACTCAAAGGATAAACTACTAGGCCTTCGATTATTAGAAATTGACATATGTGAAAATTGTATACTTGAAAAGTATAAATGAGTTAGCTTTCAAATAAGTAGAAGAACCCCAAAGAATGAAAGACTTGAGTTTGTTTACTTTGATGTTTGGGGTCCAACGAATGTCCCATCCATTGGTGGGAAGCAATACTTTGTGACTTTTATTAATGATCACTCTAGGAAGGTATAGGCATACTTTCTGAAATATAAGTATGGAGTATTTGAGGCTTTCAAGATTTGGAAAATTACAGTAGAAAATGAGACAAGATTGAAGATTGAAAAGGTTAAATCTGACAATGGATGGTGAATATGAAAAGATCAAATTTAAGAAGTTTTGTTATGAGTATAGGATCAAAATGGAGAGGACTGTGCTAGATATGCCTAAACACAATGGTGTAGTTGAACGTATGAATTGAACATTGAATGAAAGAGTCAGTAGTTTACGTCTACAGTCAAGCCTACCGAAGCAGTTCTAAGAAACAGTCAACACAACAACTTACTTAATCAACCGAGGTCCATCGGTACCATTGGTGCATAAAATATCAGAAGAGGTATAGAGTAAAAAAGAGGTAAAACTCTCATCTTAAAATTTTTGGTTGTGTAGCATATGTGCACATTAGTGATCAAGGCAGGAACAAGCTTGATCCCAAATCAAAGAAGTGCACTTTCATCGGTTATAACGAGGATGAGTTTGGCTATCGCCTATGGGATAATGAAAACAAAAAAAAATGATTCGTAGTAGAAATGTGATCTTCAATGAAAGAGTGATGTACAAGGATAGAGACAACACATACACTAACAACTTAGAACAGAGTGGGCCAATGTATGTAGAGGTGGATTGTGTCCCAGAAACTCCTATGATTGAGACTCCTCGACTAGAGGAATCAATTGAAAATAATAATGACTTGCAACTTGACACACCAGAGCCTCCTACTCTAACTCCTATTTTGAGAAGGTCCTCTCGACCTCATGTTTCTAATAGGAAATACCTGAATTATATATTGTTAACTGATTAAAAGGAGCCTAAAAACTACGAAGAAGCATGTCAAACTACAGACACTAGTAAGTGGAAGCTTGCCATGAAAAATGAGATGAAGTCTTTAATATCCAATCAAACATTGAACCTATTGGAAAAAAGGCACTTCATAACAAATGGGTGTATCGAGTGAAGGAGGATCATGATGGATCTAAAAGATACAAAACTCGTCTAGTTGTCAAAGGATTTCAGCGAAAGGAAGGAGTTGACTACACTAAAATCTTTGCTCTAGTTGTAAAGCTTAATACTATTAGGTTCGTCATAAGTATTGTTGCCAATGAAAGGCTCTACCTTGAGTAATTGGACATGAAGAATGCATTTCTTCATGGACACTTAGATGAAGAGATTTACATGCATCAACTTGAAGGTTTCTCATAAGAAGGGAAAAAGAATATGGTGTGCAAATTAAAGAAAAACTTGTATGGCTTGAAACAAGCTCCAAGACAATGGTACAGGAAGTTTGAAAGCTTCATGCACAAGAAAGGTTTCCAGAAGTGCAACATCGACCATTGTTATTTCTTCCAAAGATATAAGTTCAGTTATATTATTTTGCTACTTTATGTCGATGGTATATTAGTAACTAGTTTAGATATGGACGAGATCGGAAGCTTCAAGTAGCAATTATCAAAAGAATTTGACATGAAAAACTTGGGTCTAACAAAAAAGATCCTTGGAATGCAAATCACGAGAAATAATCAAAAAGGTATTTTGCATTTATCTCAAGTAGAGTATATCAATCGCATTTTGCAAAGATTCAACATGAGTGATGCCAAGTTGGTTAGCACACCGTTGGCTAGTCATTTTTGCCTATCCAAGGATTAGTCCCCTCTGATGGAAGAGGAAAAAGGTTTCGTGGCTAAGATTCTGTATGCTTCAGCCATTGAAAGTTTGATGTACACAATGGTCTATAAAAGGCTAGACATTGACCATGTAGTGAGAATTATTAGCAGGTTTATGTCAAATCCAAGTAAAGCTCATTGAAAAGTAACTAAGTGGATTTTGGGCTATCTACAAGGCACTATAGAGAAGTGTTTGTACTTCAATAAAAGAGAATTAAAAGTACAAGGCTACGTAGATGTAGACTTTGGAGGTGAATTCCATCACCAAAGAAATACCACTAGTTACATTTTCATTGTGTACTACAACTATTAGTTGGATGTTACAAATACAAAAGATTATTGCTTTAGAAGCCAATTAAGAATTGATATAACTTCAGGGATTATTAACAAAGTAGGGATTCATCTAGGAGAAAAGTGTTTTGCACAGTAATTGTTAGAGTGCAATACATCCGACAAAGAATTCAACATTTCATTCTAGAACAAAACATATTAGTTTCTGTTATCACTTCATCATATCTTTGTTTAAGAATAAGGTTAATTTTGAGAAAGATTCCAAGAACTTACCAGACATGTTGACAAATATAGTAACCATTGATAAATTCAAGTTGTGTTCAACTCCATATCAAACATTGCTACATTGAGCAAGATGTGAAGACAAATTGAAATCAATCTTCAAGTAAGAAATTGTCAAAAATGGTTAACAAATAAAAATAAAATGTTAAAAAAAACTTGTTTTACTTAAGAGAAAATTAAGGAAAATCAATAAAATTAAATGTAATGCATGAAAATAGGAAAGAAATGAATGGAAGAAAAGTTATATTCACTTATATATATAAGTTCTTTATTATTTTCTTAATCATTCCAACTACGAGATAGAAAAAGAGAGAGAAAGAGAAAATAAAAAATTTTAAAAATAAAAATAAAAATTTGGGTATTTTGAATTGTGAATTAAATGTTTATAAACATTGTTTATATATAATTTTTTAATAATATATCTACAGTAGTCTAAAGACATAGACACATAATTTCATTATCAATTTTACGTGTTATTATTCTACATTTATTTTATTTTTTACAAATCTGATTATAAGAAATTTTGCCTAATTTCTCAAAATACATTATATCTATTACTATAATGTAATTCATTAGTTATTGCATCAGTTTTTCTATTAAAATTTTGTTAAACAGGATAAGTTATCCCAATAATAATTCAGGCATTCATGAGTGTAGGGTCATCTATAAGAAGCATTCAAAGCCAGTCAGATAGTTTTCATCAGCAACTGCAATATAGCTTCAGCATCTCTTATCTCCTCCTGGCTTGCGAATCATCACGCCCTTGTGTAAAATCAGCATTGGTGTAAGTTCTAATTCCTGGGCCGTGTCCTCCGGTATCCATTTCCCTTCCTTGCTGTGCTCGCCTGACTTCCTTTTGATGCTCCGTCTGTTCTAACCTTCTCTTTTTAAAACTCAAAGGAGGTGTCTCTTTCCGGGTATCCAACACTAGTTCCACCCTCTTAGAGGTCCTGTTATGTTTTGCATAGACCTTATATCCCTGTAGAGCATCACCGACTTCTTCATGAGAAGCACATTTTTTAAGACATGGTAGGCTTCTCTTCTGGAGTTTTAATCTTCCATTTCTGGATAGCTTGTCCAAGACACAAAGCAGACTCGAGGGGAAATCCAAAATAATTTGCTGCCCAAATGTAGAATTCCAAAAGTTGATGGTTGGTTCTGAAATGGAGGGATATGGGTGATCGAGAGTTTTTTCAAATAGAGGTTCGTGAAGTTTGAGTAAAGCGGAACCAAAGTTTATTGGAGGTTGACTTCTTCTTAAGCAGCTTAGAATTTCAATCCACAGAAGTTGGAGTTGGTCGTTTGTTCTTCCATCCTCCATTCCCATGTTTGATAGCCATTGAAGCAGTGGGCTGGAAACAATCTGCAGTCAAGTATATGGAAGATTACAAGCTAGTTTAATATATCGAAAATTTTAAGGAATTGGAAGTTCTCTGCAAATTAAACCCACTTCCCCCAAACAATAAATAAATGCAATGAAAGACAAAGGATAAGAGGAAGTCTATCTCAAATAAGATCTACCCCTGGTTTTGCTAATCAACAACTCATTGATCGTCAAATTGGTTTAAGAAAGCATAATAAAAGTCATCAGCCACTAATTTCTTTTGAGTGCATCCAATTTTGTACAGTTTTCTCTCTTTCAGATGAAAAGGCCAAAAGTAAGTCACAAGACCCTCTATCATAAAGCCAAAAGTAAGCCAATCAAATTAAGCCATCTATCATAGAGTAATAAGGAGTTGTAGAGAAGTAATCCCTCGTCATTTCAAGTTGAAGTAATAAGTATACATGACTCATAGAAGCTACTTTAATAAACTGGGAAGTAGGAATTGGAGGAACAAACCTCCAGAAAATGAAGAATATCTTGCTTCCGGTGAAGACAACTAATAAAGCATGCCAAAGCAGAATACAACCTGTCATTTGAGATAAGACAAAGTGAAAGTCAAGCAGAATTACTTATTTAACAACCAAGCAAGCATTGCAGGAGACAACTTAAGCATATATTGACTGACCTTGAGGTCCCAACAAAACCAGGCAGTGGATCTCTCACCATATTTGTCCTCACCAAATTCATATACCTGAAATTCCACATGAAAATGATCAGCTGCGACTTAGATATATGAGTCTCTTGGTTTTGTAAATGCTTGACATACCCATAACAACAATGTTCAAACCAACAAGGCAAAGCAGCTAAATACGGATCAGGCAGTCAGTTACTTGAATAAGTTGTGATCGTAATCTCAACATTCTAACACCTTCATCCTAGAAAGAGAATAGGTACCTATTTATAACATTAATTACAAAAGGAAAATATGTTGAAATGCCAGTGACATTGCTTTTTTACATCCCCAACTCGACACAGGATGAGAGAAATTTCATTCTCATCAGGCTAATGAAAAAGTAGATCCATGTTGAAGATGCACCTTTTCTACCATTCAACTTTTATATCAACCAAGGATATGGAACAGATACCCCACAAGTCAGAGACAGAAAGACAGAGCAATCACGTATTAAACAACTAGAAAAGCACATCATATCGTTACGAAACAGGTTCAAACTTACTGGGCAAAAAAATTTAAGCAGTTCTTTATGCAGCACAGTATTTTGCTATCACGGTCAAATTTACTTCTGTCCAATTCAGAAACTAATTCCAAAGTCTGAATATGTTCTAGAATGCATATCAAGAAATTGCCCGATAAATGAAGGACGCCAAGATCCACATCATTGCATGTTAACTCAAAATCAGTGCCGCTCTCAACCTTGCCACCATTTTCATCAAGGCAGCTGCTTAACAACATGCACACATCCCCCGAGAAATTGGTGGCTGATGATCGTCCAAAGCCTGAAGCACTAAGAGATCCATAAAGTGATTTCCATGTTTGAATAACCAGTTCAAACCTCAGCTTTCTTTCTGTTGATACAGGATATTTATCCAAAGAGGCCCTAGCATTTGCCAAGGTCATTCTTGGAACTTCAGAATGTGCCACGATGGGGTAAATTAAAAGATGACATATGGAAGAATATACAGTGCTGTCAGACAAGGCTTCCTGTAGTGACTTGCAGTTTGCATCAGATACACAGTAGTTCAGACCTTGAGCTAATGCTATCCATATGCTTAAGTAAATTGGTTGAACGTGTCTGTACAAGAAGCCAATACTGGTGAGGAGATTTTCCAGGGGATCACTCAAACAAAATATAAATTTAAAATATTCACACATTCCTTGTGAAATGTGGTCTGATTGATGGCCTTTCATTGTTAACTGAACCATCACATGGAAGCACAGTGTAATCAAATAAACCAATGGGGAAACCTTATCCATATAAGAAATACAACTGACACTCAGAAATTTTAGATGTTTGTTATGATCTGCTGATTGCATGTCACCAACATATTGTAGATCTAAGGAAAACTTGTACAGAGGAGATCCCAAGATAGAAGGACCTAACTCCTTGGTGATAGCATCTATAAACTGAATGGATGTAGAATAAACATCATAATTTTCGCCGACATCTGAGCATAAATCTTCACTTACTTTCTTGATGAATGTTAGTAATGAGTTCAAGCACTGCATGATACCATCATAATCGGTAGCTGGACTTTCCACATCCAGTTTGACTCCTTTCAGAATATATATAAATAACTTCAAGGCGGTGTCATAAATATGACTTCTATGATCATAAGTGACGGTTGGCCTAGATGCTTGATGGATGAGATGAAAAATCATACTCAGATAAAAGTCCAATTGATTAATATTCCAAGGCTTCCATTTGATTAGGTGTTGCTTCCAAGAGCATTTTCCAGATAGAGAAGGTGCATTTTGAGAGATTCTGTGGCTTAATGGTCCAGCTGACGGGTAGAGGACATCCGTACACTTCTGTGAAATACTATCACTAAGCAGATCAAGACTCAGGTTCCATAAACAGATGCTATTGCTATCAGGTCCATTCTGAAATATTGTTTCAAGTATAGGCTCTAAAACCATTTTTATCACTGATGGTTCATTGATAGAGATATCAAGCTTATGTAGCAAATAACACCACGTGTTCAAGCAGGATGAATGAACTGATATATCACATTTACTGGTCATGATGCCGATCAGTGGGGTCATTATTAGCTTTATGCTTTTAGAAAATCCATTCGCGTGATCATCACAATTTTTCCTTCCTGATGAATGCTGTTTTTCCAGAGAATTCTCCTCTGCTGATGTATTTGTCTCAGAAACTAATATTGGACAGTGAACAAGAGCATCAATAAGACCTTCCCAAGCAACCTGCCCGTGAGAAGTAATCAGTAAAAAGATGTTAACGATTAGTGAGTTCTATATTCATTAGTCATGTCACATCAAATATAGAACAGCTTTACAACCCAAACATAGCTCATCCTGTGAATCATGGATGAGATAAAACAGTAACTCATATATAGTACCTGTGTAGCAATTTGAACTTGAGCGTCAAGATCTGTAAATGTACGTTCAGGAATTTTCAGCATATCATTGACTAAATGCCTATTCTTTAAAGCATGGGATCCAAGCATTCGGACAAACCATCCCCATGCACGAATAGCTTGAGTCTTCATGCCATTATCTAGCATATCCTTCATTCTATTGAGCAATTTCATCTTCATATCTTTGACAATAACCTATCGGAAAAAGAAAAAAAATGTTTGACAAGGAGACCAAAGAGCACACCTTTAAGCTTAAAACCACTATGTGAACCTTACAGACCAAGTATGACATGTCATGGACATGATATAAATTTGTTTTTTTTTTTTTTTTTTCATTTTGCAATACCCCAAAAAAAAAGATAAAAATGTAGCCAGGAGGGATTACAAATACACACTAAATTACAAGCTTGCCTTGACAAAAATATTGTAGTTTGTATCATCTGCATAAGCACATCAACAACAGTAGTCTTCACAACTTAAACAGCCATAATATAATCATGCTATGCCACTAGAGTCCAGAGCCATCACTTTATATTGAATATCACATAAGGTTTTGGTACCTTAGAGAGATCCAGACAAGGAGGAATGACTGTGGATTTGATCTTCAACAGGCACCTTTCTGAGGCATCCCTCTCCCTCTTATCTGTGCTGAGAAGTCTCCTGTATATTGGAGGAGCCCATATATGGGATGAACCTTTCATTTGCTCACTTAATTGACCAGATAGCTTCATTACAGCCTGTCATCCAAAGGTTTAAAGATGAGTATCAAAAGAAAACAGTACACCTGGAGATGAATTCCAAGGATAAATATGCAAGGAGATCCAGATCAATATAGCCAGCCAGGCATGCATAAAAGATCATCTCTAGCCAGTCAGTAATTATTAAAAAAAAAATGTTAAAATAGGGTACACAGGAAAAGTTAAGTTTTACTTTCAAGGTTACAGAGACAACTGACAAGACATATATTCGGCGATAACGAGTAATAAAAATGATGATTTTGATCCTCTCTGTAATATTTTTTAAGAAAAAAAAAAAACCATCAACTGGTAAAAAAAGTACACTACTAGAAAAAACTACAAGAGGCAATTGCTTAATCTCTAAACCATTTAAAAGAAGACTAGAACTAGAAGTATGGAGTTCATTTTCTTTTTTTCTTAATTTGATTTGACAAAACTTAAATACAGTTCTTTAAGTCTTTTTAGGGCTATTCTCTAAATAAATCTGAAGTTTCATCTACATAAACATCACAGCTGTTCTGACCTTTAATGTAAATTTTTATTGCGTAGATTATTGGGATTCAACTGTAAGACTACTAATCGAACAACAGAACCAATAACAAGTAAGAAATTGCATATAAATTTTGTTCAACTTTATTTGACCTCGTATAGCACCAAAACGCTAAGAAAAGGTAACTGCACCTGGGTAGCTTCAAATGTTGTGGACAAAGAACCCATGGGATTGTCCAGGGCATGAAGAATTGCACGTAACAAAGAATGGAAGTGAGTCATAAGAAGTGATGCACCCAACTGTTGAACAGACAAGCACCACACCGCTAAATTACAAGCAGACTGCAGCAACAGTTAAGAAAGTTAATGTAAATGCAACACATCCCACGGACAAAATGAAACACAATATAGAACACGAGAAAAACTGAAAACACTTATCATCGTATCAAGAGTAGAAACAAATAAACCATACTAGCCTTTAATTTTGTGGTCGTAATAAGCGCGGGCAATGCCCCCAACACCAAATTGGCATCATCCACTGCAAAACCGATGGAAAATCAGCTTCGCACAGAATCAAATAATGGACAGGTTGAGACATAAGAGCGAAAGCAGATACCTCGAAGGACGGAAACGACGGAGGGGTGATAAAGCATGAAGCCCAAACACTTCAAGGCTTGTGTGACTCTAACACGCGGTTAAAAAAATGAATGAAAAATTAATTTTTAAAAAAGAAGGTTAAAAGATAAAACGGTGAGAAAGTGAAAGTGGATGCTGACATTTGTTCGTGGTGGTGAGCGGAGATGTCTGAAACGATGGAAGAGAGAATGAAGTGGGAGGAGTGAGCGAGGGATTGGAGCGAAGAGGGGTTGAGGCAAGAATGTTGCTGAAAGTGCAAGAGCGCTGAATAGCCGGAGGATTTGTTGAAGCCCTCATCGGAGGAAACGAGAGTATGGATTTGTTGGATCTCTTCTGCCATTCTTTTCTTCTCCTCACACTCCTGGAAGACGCCGCAACCAATGTTTCGCGCCAAACCTCTGTTCCAGGTGTTACATTTCTTTTGATATGTGTGTTTACTCTTCATTTTTTTTTCATTATTTGTTTTATTTTTGCTACATTTAGTCGTTTTCTAACTTGATCAATTCGACTCAAATTTAATCTTCTGCACTACTTGGATTGCAAAGCCAACAATCCAATCATATGCTCTGAATTCAAATGGTTATTGTTTAACTTGAACTCAACATATAAACTTTCTTTTTGTGAATGCACTATATGAGACACATCCCACATAATAAGTTAATAACCTAGTCACCTAGAAAAGGCTTGGTACATGTATGTGGCTTCTTTTTTATTTTCCCACAATTTTTTATTCATATTAGATGGTAAAACATAATTTTTTTATTATTTTACTGGTAAAACTTATTTTACTATTTCCATTATCCCAAGGCTTGGTACATGTACGTGCGTTGTTTTTTATTTTCCCACAATTTTTATTCTTATGGATAGTAAACACAATCTTTTTATTTGATTATGAAAACATTTTACTATTTCCATTATTCCAAGGCTCGGTACATGAATTTATGTGCCTTGTTTTCTATTTTCCCACAAATTTTATTCATATTGAACGGTAAACATATTTTTATATTTTACTATAAAAATATGAGTGAAGATACACTTCCGAAAATTTTTTTGCCGAATCATCCTCCGAACATTAAAAAAATTAATATTTATTAATAAATTTATTATAAAATAATTATTTAATTTAATATTTTATAATTTAAATTATTATCTTAATTATTCGGTACGCATTTTAGAATATAATTCGGAGATTGTATCATTTTTCTAAAAATATATTTTATTATTTTCATTTTTTTTGTTACAGTCACATTTTATTTATATTTGATAGCAAATATAAGTTCTTTTAAGACCTAATAATTTCATGCAATTATAAATTATTAGTTTTAATAATTTTCGATTATTAATCATTATCATCATAAAGAGATGAAATAAGGCACCTCAAGTTAAACTTTGTTAGATTTAAGTCTGACCTTGATTAAAAATATATGACATGTTCCATATCTACTTACTATTAAATATTGTTTAAATATAGGTTTTAATAATGACAAACTATTAATTTCAAATTTTAGTACAAAAAAATTCTCATATATGTGCTAACAAGTTTATTCAAGTGTTTCAAAAGTTATTTATAACTACTCAAAAGGTTGTCTAAGCTTAACAATTTAGAAGCTTCACAATACATCAATTAATTTGTTTGAGTTGTCATTTAGTCCTAAGAGACTTGTTTGCCCTCAGCAAAAAGATGAGCATATTATGTCTCTATTCAAAAAGGTTAAAGTTAATTATTTTCTCTTAGGAAAAATGTCTTGAAGACTTGGCTCAAATGACCAACACTTTGAGTCATCTATCAAAAGGCTTCAATTAAAAGGTACCTTATTTGAAGAAAAAACTAGCAGTACCAGAAAAGGCAAAGTACAATGATGTCAGTTTTGCTTAAAAATTAATCTAGTCATAACAGATCTATTTCAGTGGCTATAAAAAAAAGATTAAGGCTATGTTTTTAAAGCAAGCAAGATTAGAGAGAGTTAATAAAACACAAGTTATCAAGTTGTAATATTTGTTTCATACTTTGATTCTTTTAGAGAACTCCACTTTAGTATTGTATCATTCTTGTAATAGAAAAAAAAAGTGTAAATCTTTCTTAGTGAAAGTTTCATTATAAGATAACCTATTGTAATATGAATTGTGTGTAAGGCTACAAAACCCAACTATGTAAAACCTTTCCTACCCAAATCTAAATGTGTAAAGGCGTAGGAAGGTAGAAAGAAATCACAACAGTGGTTATGTAATCCCGTAGTAGGTGGTTGTGAGGTTGGTTTTCTCAACAAATTGTTAAGTGTGGAAATCTCAATAGGTGGTTAAGTATGTATCACTAATAACAAATGGTTATGTAGCGGTGTTCTTGTGTTAGTATGTGGTTCAGTTGTTCTTGAACAATAGTTGGCTATGATAGTGAAAATCTCACAAGTTTATGTGGGACTGGATGTAACCTAGTTTGAGTAAACTAGTATAAAAATTTGTGTGCAATCTCTCTTACTTTATCTCTTTACTTGTTTCATTTACTTTACTGCAACTTTTATTCTATTGTTGCATAATTTGATGTGAAAATAAGTTAGTTTAAAAACTATTTTTAGAAAAATACTCTAAGTTTAAATACTCAAAAGTTTACCATCTAAAGAACATATTTCCATAAAATAACTAATTTTTAAAAAAATAAAACAATTCACCCCTTTTCTTGTAACCTAACATTCAGTTCACTTGCATGTTATATATATATTTTTTAAGTCTAACCTAATTTGCATAAAAGTCTAGCATTACTTATGAGTTTGTTTAAGGATCTACTTTGTACAAATTTAACACAAAAAAAATATATATAAAAATCAAATCTAACTTGTTTAAATGATGGTGATGACACCTTTTTTAAAAAAAATATTTTTGTAATAATACCTCTAGACAATACATAAATGTATTTTTTAATAGATTTATAAACTTAACTCTTTATGAAAGTTAACATTTAAAAGGTGAAAAAAAATATTTTAATACTATTAACAACAAATATTTATTTATTTTTAATTAAATAAGTTAGTCTTTTATGTAAAAAAAATACTTTTTAAATGGCCTAAAGTTTGACTTTTATAAAAACACTGATATGATGTATTATATATATATATATAGAAGTCTAATTTTGCTTGAGTTTGATTAGGTTAAGTCATAAACACCCATCAAGTAGTTTCACTTATTTTCACACTTAATTGTTGCTATATTTATCATCATTACTACCATACTTAATACTTATCATCGTTGTTATTATAACAATTAGCATGATCACCTACATTATTATTGTCATTGTATCACTACTGAGACCAAAAATGTTATTACTATTCTCTCACTCATTATTCATGTATAAATATCTTCTTTTTTTTATTATTATTATTGTCGACATCGTCATTAACATTCTTAAGACACTAAAATCACGAGATTTCTTATTACTCTTTATGTCTTATTACTGTCACTATCATCATCTAGTCTCATTAGATAATATAATTACATTTGAGTTTAGATTTTCAGCTACATATTTAATAACTTGTATAAACAAAACATTAAAATGTTTTCTTAAATTATTTTTAATTTTAAAAAAATTATAAATTAAATTTTCATTATTGAAACATGCTTTTAGCGTCCAATGTTGAAATTGAAGATTAAAGTAATGTTTTCTTTATTTCAATGTCGTTAGTTTATAATTATAATTCTTATGTATATAAGTAGCGTGGATAATTAAGGCATGAAATCACAATTCTCAACTTGAGTTTCAAATAAAATTTGAATTTTTAAATTGGATATAGTTATGAGTAAGATTGTCTTCTTTTTTTTTAAGTAAAAAAATATTCATTTATAAATGTCAATAACGATAATAATGGTGACAATAATAATACTACAAGAATGTTTGAAATTAGCTACCACTTTTTACTACCAATAAATTTAGTAACTATTTTTATATTTATAGAAATTGAACTTAATTTTAGGGTGTTTAGAATACCCATGTATTTTGTTCGGCCAATCAAGCTAGACCCTTTAATATTTGACAATTGTTAACCATGTGGCAATTATATCAATCATGCAAGTAATTCAATGATGAGTAAGTACCCTCTTTTAAATGACTTGTACAATACACAACAATAATTGCATTCACTTGCTATTTTAGAATAAATAATGTTAATTAATTGAGTTTGATTGATAAAAGAAACGAAAAATAATGTAATAAAAATATAAACTTTTTTTGGGCACTTTTACGAGTATGTAAAAGGCATTATAGATAAGTAATGAAATGGTGTGTCATCGTTAGGATTACACTTCATTGAATCTCATTCTTGTGCGTTTAAACACTCAATTCCTCTTTTGCATTTAATGTTAATGTTAACCTATTAGTTTATTCAAGCACTAATTTTTTAGAATTTAGAGTCCAAGTTCCCTTGTTAAGCAACAATTCTTGAATACTTAACAAATAAACTTGCATTAACCACAAGGATTCAAGATAACTAATGAGTAAAGGTATATTTCTAGATACAAACTCTATTGGATATTTTGTTTTAGTTTAAGATTACAAAATGCATTTTTCAACATCTCATGAATCAAATATCAAACTATGGTTTATCAATTCATGCCAAACAATAAGAGTAAAAATAAAATACTAACATTGAAATGAAGACACAAAACTAGGGATAGCAAATATACCCGTACTCGCGGGTAATACCCGAACCCGTCCTGACTTTGACGGGGAATACCCGGTTTGACCGGGTACAAATACAGGTACGAGTAAAACCCGATATATTAAATTGGGTACAGGTATGTACTTACCCGCACCGTACCCGTACCCGTCCCTGTTCTCATTTTAAATTTAATACTCACTTTCAATTTAATTATATTAAAAAAATTTAATATTTTTTTATGTGTGATTATTTATTATAATATGAGATAGAGAAATAAATTAATTATAATTATAATATAATAAAGAAAATAAATTAAAAATATCATATTTTTTTACAAAAAATAAAAAATAAAAAAATTAACGGTACGAGGATGAAAATCATATACCCGACGGGTACGGGGACGGGGATGAGTTTGACTCGTGGGGACGGGGATGGGTATCATGAAACCCGTACCCGACCCGCCCTGTTGCCATCCCTACACACAACACACACACACATATAAACAATACCAATTACATGAGAATTTGGTTGGTTACATCTAACACAACAAGAATGAAATTAGTTTTTGATGCGTTGCATTTTGTAGACATTTAGGAAACATTTTTACTTTTATTTATTTACATGAGTGTTTGTCTTTGTCCTCTTTGTTGCATATATCTTCTTTATTTGTTGAACATATTATGTTGAGGTAGCTTTTATAAATATAGGGGTCAAAAGTGTTTAGATTTGATGCAAAAAAAAAGGAATTTTGGAATTACATGGATCATCAAAACATGATTAATTGTCACAAACTCGTAGATGAACAAATTTTAGAGGTTTCAACCATTTACCAAATAACAAACTACGAGGCAACAAATGCACGCCTGTGGGACCACTTACATGTCTATGTCATTCACTAACGAAGCCTCACATTCACTAAAGTCATCAAGACGACATCTGGCACGAGCATGCAACCTAATTGCATGCCCATACAACCTAATTGCATGCCCATGCAAACATCCATAATTTTTTTTCTTTCTATTTCATAATTTGAATTTTTTTAAATTATATTTTTTAAGAATTAGTTATTAGGTTTATAGTAGGTGAATGGGGAAAAGTAGTATCTTCAGTTATGATTTCTATTTTTGGACTTGAGGATTCTCGCTCTCAACTCTTAAGTTCATTTTTTATGCTTTATTGTTTTCTTAGAGAGAACTACCATGAATAAGTGTAAGTTGTCTTCTTTTATTCTATGATTGAGACTTAACCTTTCAGAACCTTTTTGTTTAATTGAATTATTCAGTAATTTATTTAATTTCTCTTTTTAATCTAAATTTTTAGTATTTTATATATGCAAAGCATTGAATGTTTTTTCTTTTTCATAATTTTAGATATTTAAGGAAGAATTGAAAAGTGAACTTGATTATCAAAACCCTAAAAAATAGATTTAGGGTTTAAATCACAAAAGTATGTTTAATCCTTTGAGGTAGAGTTGTCAAAGTGGGCTCGACCTGGTGAGCCAACCCAACCCACCACGGGTTCGAGCCGGGTTGGGTTGAAAAAAACAAAATTTTAATACGAGTCAATTTTGAACTCGGCTCACTAACAACCCAACTCACCCGGGTTAAACCCGTGGTGAGACGGACTGGCCCACCAACCCGTGATTAAATAAAATACAATAATTATTGGGCCATGGTGCAGTAAAAAATGAGACAATAATGATTTAATGTTGGATTGTGATTTGTAATTTTTATGATTTTGGATTGTATTTGAATTTTAAGATGATTTTGGATTATATTTGAAGTTTAAGATAATTTTGGATTGTATTTGAAGTTTAAGATGATTTTAGATTGTATTTGAAGTTTAAGATGATTTTGGATTATATTTATCTATTTGAGATTATTTAGAGTTGATTTAATTGTATTTAAAATTGTCATTTAATATTTGGGATGAATGATTCATATATGGATGTATTAATTAAGAATCTCATATTTTTAAAATAGGTTTGAGTTTTTGGGCTTTAGTTGTATATTAATAAAAAAAATGAAATTTCTTTTTTTTTTTTTTTTTTTTTTTTTTTTTTTTTTTTTTTTCAGGTGAGCCAACTCTTTAACCCACCAACCCATGGTGGGTCGGGTCGGTTTCAACTTTTTTGAGCTCACTGATAAATGAGTCGGGTTGGGTTGGCCCACCAAATGGTCAACCCGTGGTGGGCCGGGTCGAGCCAGGTGGCTCGTTTTGACGGCTTTACTTTGAGGGTAAACTAGACTAACAAATAACTTGATGAATTTAATTGAATATAACTACCACGATAGTAAAAGTTAATTCAATTAGATACTTCATTGTATCTTGGAAGAGAACGAATGATACCTTAAGTTAATTCACCTTCAAATAAATTTTAATAAAATGTTTAATTAAACGATTAGATAGATAAGAACTTGTTATGTGAACCCTAATCCCATAATATATTTTAATTATTATCAAAATCAAATTTGTTATTTTTGTATTTAATTTTTTTTATCTTATCCTTTAATAATTATATTTTTCGTTGTCAATTGCAAAGATTTCACCTTTATCTAATTTTGATTAATTAACAATAATTACACAATCAAAACGTTGTCTTTGTGGATTGATATATTTATTACTCAACGACAATTCGTCCACTTACAAATTTTACACATCAAGTTTACAGTGTCGTTGTTGCGGATTGCAATCTTCTAGTTTCATAATTATTGTTTATTGATTTAAATTAGATGCTAATCTATTTTATTGTTTTTTTTTAATTTCATTCCTTTTTATAACTCACGTTTTACATTTTTTTTGTACAGGGTTCCTCAATTTATGTATAGATCTCTCTGCCTATGAAAACCAAAAGAGTTTAACCTTAAAATGGAAATAATATTTCGAAGAAGGTTAGGAACACTAAAGCTAAGGGTTGTTATTAATCCATTACATGGATCTATCATGGCCTATCTACTAGCAAATAAACCCATAAAATCATATGCAACCCCAACCATCCGAGGGTTGCTTGGTGGAATCACCTGTCCTAATGTGGGGAATAACACCAACTCCGTGATTCCCCAACCTCTTTAACCATGTTGAAACAAAGTCAATTCCTAGGGATGCCTACTAAAAATCCCATGGATCATGTGGGAAGGTTTCAAGGGGTAACACAAGATGCATCATAACTATGCCTTTTCCCATTGACACTAGCAAGAAAGGTAAGGGCATGGTTGAAAAACTATACCAAGAGAGTAGTAACAACTTGGGAAAAAGGTGAAAAATAATTCCTTAACGAGTACTACCCTCCTTCCAAGATTGATGAAATGCGAAAGTAGATCTTTAACTTTCATCAAGGGAAATCAAAATCTTTTTCTGAATTGTTTACATCATGAATATGACATGAGTCTCACTATCCATTTTTTTCATTATGGATTAAATTACCCAAGCAAGATGTTGCTGCACTTTGTTGTTAACAAGGCATTCATGGACAAGCCACTTAATGAGGCAATTACTATCATTAATATAGTAGCTACAAACCAAAGCCAATGGGGTGGTGAGAGGAGTAGTTTCTTGCACAAAACCCTTTAAGTAGGTAAATACGAGGTAAACAATGTTGATCTTTTTCTAACTAAATTTGACACATTAAACCAAATATTTGATAAGATAGAAAAAAAAGGCAATGATAAAGTGATAGGTGCTACTAGCATTGTTGTGAAGTATGTGGTGTGCATGTACATTTAGCTATTGACTGCCAGGTAGGAATTCCTAGAGAGCAGGTGGAAAATGTTCTTGTAACACATAACTTCTATTACTACCCCAAGAAGGATAAGTTTAACCCATACTCAAATACATACAACTTAAGGTGGAAGAGTCATCCTAACTTCTTATACTAAAACAACCAATGAGAACAAGGGGGTATTCAACAACCATAACTTTAACAAGGGCTCAAGTAGTCAATGATTTCAACAACATCTAGATCAACAATCATTGTCTAGGCTTGAAAGCTTGATGACAAAAGTAGTCTTAAGCGAAAAGCAATTTATGTGTAGCCCATAACAGACAAATGAGAGAGTTAATAATTCCCTTGAGGAATTAATTGCTAGGATGGATGATATGGCCTTCCTCAACAAAATGATAGAAGGACAAATCTCTCAAATGGCTTAGTACCTTTCGTCCTCCAGCCTTCCCCAAGATAAGTTTCCAAGTAAGTGTGAAACTAATTAAACTGAGTATGTGAATGTTATAATAACAAAAAATGGTAAGTTGTTTGATGAACCTGTGTCTAACCCAGCTAATAAAACACTAAAATTGAAATGAAGACATGTAAATATGACCAATTTCATAAGAGTTTGGCTGGTTACTTTTAATGCAACAAGAATGAAATTGGTTTCTCATTACCATAAAGAGCACAAAAAGGAAAAAAATATATGAAATCACAGAAGACAGAGATCCAGGGAGAAACTTGCAGGTAATAAGAACCCTAAAAATTGCATTTCCCCCTATTGGTTGAATGAATCATTCCTTTTCAACATGAGCCGTATAAAAAGCCAAAAGGTGACATCTAATTAAAATGGCACCTGATGCCAACTGAACACCATCGATTGCAAGCACACAAAAAAGGAAAGAAGCTCTGTCAAAAATGTGTTGAGCAAGATTAAGGTGGTATCCCGTGTGGGACAAGCAAGGGTTTCTATCAAGATAGTTTTGAATATGAAAAAAATGACGCTCGATACGAGATAATTAAAACTCTTTGCCAATATGGTGTTGGACATAAAAAAAACGACATCCAATACAATATAAATCTTCTTGGAGCACTAGCTACAAGATGATGATTCTAATATTTTTAAATATTTAATGTCATTTTTTCGAATTAATACTATACATCTTAATTAAATCGAATGAAAAAATAACATTATTATTTTTAAATAAAGGACTAAGTTTAACAATTCAAAAGTAATAAAGTTATATTGAGTCTTAAAAATAAACACAAAAATTAATTAATTAAAAATTTAATCAAAATATAATATAACTTATTGAACAAGTATTTACTTAAAAAAACAATTTTTCGAGAAAAAAGTATTTACTTAAACAAAAGTTGTACTAGCTAGAATCCTATGAAATAAAAAAAAGATTTTTTTTAATTAAAAAGTTGCTTTAAAAATCATGGAGAGTGCACCTTTACAATTTTTTTTCTTCTCACTTTTATTCATCAATTAGTGTTTCAAGACACACACTAATTAGTAGTAATATTATTTGTTAAAAAAAGAAAAATAAAAAACTGATATAATATGCGCTCATTTTTATACAACCGATTTATGAGTTTCTGGAAAAATAAATAAAAATTAAAAAAACTTCCCACTCTCTTTCTATCTGAACCTCTCCCGATTCGGCGAATAGGTTTTCATTTCATTTCTCGCACTCTCTCTCTCTCTCTCTCTCTCTCTCTCTCTCAGAGCAAAACGCAAAACCAGATACCATCGAAGCAAGCAAATCCTAGGGTTTCCCCTTCAAATTTGTCAACTACACCTCTCTCTCTCCACTTCGATTTCAAATGTAATTCAGATTCATCTCACTTCGCATCTCCTCACTCAACTTTAGGGCTTTTCCTCTCTCTTCCCCAAAACCCTCTCCAAACACGATTCCCAATCCGATTACTCGATCTCCCCATGGAATCCAGAGATTTACCCTCCTCCTCTCCCTCCTCCACCGCCAACCGCGACGCCTCCTCCGCCACCGATGCCGACGACGGCGTTTTCACCGTTGCCGTCGCCCTCGCCAAAGACGCCGCGTTGCATTTCCAGTCTGCCAAGTTCGCCGAGTGCGCCGAGGTGTTGAACCAGCTCTTGCAGAAGAAGCAAGACGATCCCAAGGTAGTCAAATTCTCTTTACCGTTTTCCATCGTTCCTGATCCAAACGACGTCGTTTCGCTTTTCCTAATCTGTTGCTCTGTGCTGGTTTTTATACTAATTGCCATGCTTCTTGCGCTTGATCTGTTTCTTCGCTTTTTAATTTTAAGAGCTGAATTTCAATTTTGAAACCTTGCTGGAACTGTAGCTAGTAAGCACTTGCAGATGCACTGTAGCGTCTGTGGCTGTAAATGTGAATGTGCATCCGTTATTCCACTGCTTTGTATGAATTTCTTCGGGTGGCAATAAATGGGCTGTTGAAGTTGATTTATGAGCTTCTTTCAGTGGATGCCTATGAGAATGCATTTGCCCCATGTCATGTAAAGTAACTTGTACGAATTTTGGATGTATGGAGAAGCCTATTGGACTTAGAGGAGAAACTGATGTAGTGGATCCAACATGGAAAGTTTGAATGACAAAAGGGAGTCTTAGCTCATTTTCCGGATAAGGAAATCTTTCTATGTTGGATTCGATTCAATTGTCGTTTTGTTAATTTTGATTCTTGTAGCTAACCTAATTTTCCGGATTCGCCGGATAGGTACTGGCCACACATGCAACCCTAAGTTAATATATTGCGTTGTTAATTTTGGTTCTTGATGGTATCCTAATTCACCAGAAAGTTAACGGGTTGCTGTGCTAATTTTGGTTCTTGATGCTAACCCAATATGTGGGATAGTTGATAGTTACACGTGCAGCACAAACACTATGTTAATGTATGTGCTTGCATGATCTTACGCTCACATCACTCTCATACTTCCATGCAAATTGTTGCATAATAGCTTGTTGTGCTGCAACTTTTTACTGAATGGTCCACATTGTCCATGCCATGTACCTCATTGTTCATGCAAGTATATTTTCCCTAGTAAATTATTTATCTTTGGTTTTGCCTTTCATGGAATTAGAAATGTTTTGGTCCTGAATTTACCCGAATGCATTCTCATAATTGATGAAGTACGCTATATTATGAATGAATTCAAATAATTAGACTGGCATTTGTGCAACTATATCTGTGAAAGCGATTTATGATGAAGAAATAAATGGACTGTTATCATCATTTTTGTGTGGGTGTGTTATAGAGCATGGGTGTGGTGTTTGTGCTTTCTTCGTATCATGTATATTATACAAATATACAATTAAAATTCCTAAACATTGAAATTGTGATTGATGTTGTGGATTGCATTTGAGGCAACAGCAATAGAATTCTTTGTCATCCATATTGAGTCCTGTTATGAGCAAGGGAGGACAATGGTTTCAGTGGGTTCATGAGTTAATGTAACCCACTAGATGTTGCATTATCTTTATGTTTATTTTTTGTTGTCCAAGTCATTTCTTTTTTTCTACACTTAATGTTTAAGGTTTTAAATCCTAATATTTCAGGTCCTTCATAATATTGCAATTGCGGAGTTCTTCCGAGATGGTTGTTCAGATCCCAAAAAGTTGCTTGAAGTAATTAATGGCATCAAGGTATGCCATTTTAATATTCATCTTGTTTTGGATTTCTGCAAAGTGACAGTTTTGTGATGATCTGTAGCTTTCATTTTCCATGGATTGAATTAGGAGATCATTTTCACTTTCTTTTATGTTTATGGATTAAAATTGCATGCCACTGACACCAATTGAGAATATGATGACAATATTAAATGAAGTTAGACCTAGATCAAAATTTGGACTCATTTAAATTTAATTTCTCAGCCTTTATACTGATTCATGTATGGATTTCGGGGTCAATAAAACGCTAAGTTGGCATGTGGCTTGAGCCAGTGGAAGGAGTGTTTAAGATTGTAGAAGGGCATATTTGATTCTGATAATTTCTCATGATTTTATCTGAGTTTGGTTTCCTTCATTGGAATAAGGATGCAGTTAAGATTTAACTTCCTGTTGGACCTGGTATACTATAGTTTATGATATTCTTAGAAGAGGAAACTCTGCTTACATATCACCACCTCAATGATAATAATACAAGTTAGGAAACAGTGGTGAAGAAGAGTTGAATACGATTTCCTCATTGAATACAACTCTTTTAAATAAAATTCAGTGCAGAAATTAGGAAATCTTGTTTAAGCTTTATGTAAGTTGGGCTTTAAGTTCTCATCTTTTGCTCCCTTATGAGGGTGTCTAGTTGGGGATCACATTGAAACAAAAAGGATTTAACTTGTAAATTGATTTATTCTGTTTTAGACTATTTAAGTTGCAGCTTGAAGCCCTTATCCCCATTTATCTGTAATTTTGTACTTATCCGTTTTGTTGCTGGAGTTGATTCAGAGAAAAAATGACGAGCTTGCTCTAGCTTCGGGAGAACAAGGAGAGTCAGCAAACAATGTTGGAAATAAAGCTGTTTTGGGGTCCAAAGGAAGTAATACTTCAGCACATCAGTTTTCAGGTGCAAATAGCACTGGCACCATGTATACAGATGAATTTGACTCTTCTGTGGCCATGCTAAATATTGTACGTTCATTTTGCTCCTTATATTAATTTCATTTATTTCTCACTTGTTTTGTATTTGTGATTTATTTATCTTTGTTGATGTGTTTTTTTTTCCTATCCCTTTAGGCCATCATTTGGTTCCATCTTCATGATTATGTAAAGGCATCGTCAGTTTTGGAACCACTCTTTCAAAATATTGAACCCATAGATGAGGTATGCCATTTATTATTTGATGGTATCTTGTTTTAAAAGTTACTCCAATGTGTTGATGACTTTGTTCTGTTCCTTTATTTTGTGTTCTGTTTCCTAAAGCAGACAACAGCCCTACATATTTGCCTCCTGCTGCTTGATGCTAGCCTTGCTTGCCATGATGCATCAAAATCAGCTGTAAGTTCAAATTACCAATTGCAAATTTTGTTGGTTAATGCATTGACTCTACCATGATATTCATATCTCATGTTGTGTTATTTTTTGTTTTCTTAACTTTTTTATTAGTGCGTGTCTAGTTATGTGTTCAATGAATATGTAAATATTAATGTGATTACATAGTTTATGCTTACCATGACCAGTTCAACCATGAGCCTGTTGGGCATGCCAGCTGAATTTTTTTATGGCGATTTGTCCAGTTGATCTGTTTCAATCCATTATTTGTAGCTATTTGGAAGTTTTCTTGTTGTGCATAAATCATGTAATTAATGTATAATGCTTGGTCATAGGTAGAAAATGAATTTACACTTTTACAGGAAATGTGGGTTCCCTGTAGGTGTTATATTTGACTATTTATCTAAAAAAAGAGGTTGTGTTGGGAGCTAGACTGAGATAATCCAATTTCATTTTGAAGACTCTACCCCATCCGTTGTTAACTTGGTCAAACTGAAAATTTAAGGTGTATAATTTACTTGCTTTAATTGTTTTCTCTTACAAAATACAATGTTAAGCTTCATAAATTCTCGCCCTCCCAGTTGTAGTATATATCTTGAATAATTTGTTGAGTAAATGGCGTAAAAATTTCACTGTAAGCTGTTTTTTTGTTTCTCTAATTGTTGTACAAATGCGCTGTTCTGAGAGGAATCTGTTTGTTTAGGATGTGTTGACATATCTGGAAAAAGCATTTGGTGTTAGTAGTGCGAGTCAAGGTGATAATGGGAACACAACACAGCAACAAGCTGCAAATCTAATTACAAAGTCTGCATCTGTCGTCATTAGTGCATCAGCTGCTGATGCATCTAGTTCCGATTTAGGATCAAGTGCAAATGCGTCTGAAAATCATCTATCCAGAGCTTTGTCTGAAGATACACTTGATTATGAAGCCATGATTTTGGATATGGGTGGACAAAATTTAGCAAGGCCAATGGGCCCCTCTTCAAATGATCTTTCAAGGGCTTTGGTTGACAGGTTTTCTACAGTTGATTTAAAGCTTAAATTGCAACTTTACAAGGTTAGGTTTCTGCTTCTTACTAGGAACTTGAAGCTAGCAAAACGAGAAGTCAAGCTGGCTATGAACATTGCACGTGGAAGAGATTCATCAATGGCTCTTCTTTTGAAGTCTCAGCTTGAATATGCTCGTGGTAACCACCGCAAAGCTATAAAGCTATTGATGGCATCAAATAATCGGACAGACACTGCATTTTCAAGCATTTTCAACAACAATCTTGGGTGCATTTATTATCAGCTTGGGAAATATCAGACATCTTCGCTATTCTTCTCGAAGGCATTAACCAATTGTGCATCACTGCGGAAGGATCAATCATTAAAGCTAGCCACTTTCTCGCAAGATAACTCTCTCCTTATAATTTATAATTGTGGTGTGCAGTACTTAGCTTGTGGGAAGCCAGTACATGCGGCTCGATGTTTCCAGAAGGCAAGTCTGGTCTTTTACAAACAACCTCTCTTGTGGCTCCGACTCTCAGAATGCTGTTTGATGGCTTTAGAAAAGGGCCTAATCAAATCAAGTCGGGTTTCATCAGAGAGGTTGGGTGTAGGAGTTTGTGTTGTCGGGATTGGAAAATGGAGGCAACTTGTGGTGGATGATCAGATTCCAGGAAATGGACGTGTGGACTCATCTGAAGGGGATGATTGTATTCCAAATGAAGATGGGCGGCTAAAATTATCGATGTCCCTTGCCCGGCAGTGCCTTTTGAATGCTCTACTCTTGCTGGACTCGAACAATGCAAATTGTTTTAAGTCTGGTTTGCCCTCTAATTCTTCCGTGGAGGAAAATGATGCAAGTGAAGTGTCGCCTTCAAAGAATTCAAATATTAAAAATTTACATGGCATTGATTCAAAGGCATTTTCTGTAGCATCGGGTATAGGTCAGGTCAATGCAAATGGGGACACTAAAGAACAGAAGGGAGGAAATAGTCAGGAACTTGTTCAGAACTCCCTCTCCTATTATGAAAATGTCCGTAAAAGAGAAAATCAACTGGTTAAGCAAGCTGTTCTAGCTAATTTAGCATATGTGGAGCTGGAGTTGGACAATCCTGTGAAGGCACTATCAGTTGCTAAATCTCTCTTAGAAATTCCAGAATGTTCCAGAATTTACATCTTTCTAGGCCATGTTTATGCAGCAGAGGCTCTTTGCTTGCTGAACAGACCAAAAGAAGCGGCCGAGCACTTGTCATATTATTTGTCTGGGGGAAACAATGTTGACTTGCCTTTCAGCCTTGAGGACTCTGAGAAATGGCAACCGGAGAAGACTGCCGAATTTGAAGAGGTGAATGTAGGATCAACAGCTGTCAAGAATTCTTCTCTTGAAGGCACTCAGAGTATTGTTTTCCTCAAGCCAGAGGAGGCACGAGCAGCAATATATGCAAATTTTGCTGTAATGTCTGCAATGCAAGGTGAATTTGAGAAATCCAGTTTACTGGTTACGCAGGCATTGTCCATATCACCGAACAGTCCAGAAGCCACACTTACAGCAGTTTATGTGGATCTCTTGCTCGGTAAGCCACAGGAAGCTCTGACCAAACTAAAACGTTGTAGCCGTATTAGGTTCCTTCCTAGTGGAATAACGTTGAATAAATCTTCTTGAGTGTTGTATGCTTGGGTTTTGTCATTGTGCCTGGCCCACACCTCAGCGTTAGTTAGCAGGTAGCTTAATCCTTCCATAGCATTTGTAACATATATAAGTTCAATTCAGAGAATAATTTTTAATGATTCATTTTCCTTATAATTCTCAAATTTAGGGTCACTACAGGTGGTGGCTGTGTTTTGGTTAGTGCTGGTGCCCACCTTTGAAATTTGAGCTGTAGATCTGATTCGAATTGTGTTTTTACTTTTTAGAGGCTAATTTGGTTTATATTCAAGAATAGAGGTCATGTCACTGTGCTTATATTGAGAAAACTGAAAAGTTGATAGTTATTTTGGAATTCCATTTTGAATCCGCCGGAGTTCGCTCTCATTCGTTGTGGGTGTTATTATTCAGATGAATATGATTTCGTGTCTTGTGCTTTTTCCCAGTTGCTGTTTTGCTATGTGTATATGTCATTCACGAGCAGGTGACGCTATAGCAGCGATTATTACTAGAAGGTGGATAAGGGTAGGCCCTTGATTGACCTAGTAATTTAGGTTCAACTAGTCTTGTTTAAATGGAACCAATTCTATTGCTTTATATTCTATAAACATTTTAGATTTCACAATTTAATCTGTGCGTCTAGATCTCCAGAGCGGT